GCGTCCCCGAGCCGGCAGCTGCCCCCACCCTGCCCGTGCCCCCCAGGCGCCCAGCCCTGCAGCCCCAAGTACTTTGGCCGCGATGCCATGGTGTGCGTCTGCAACGCCACGTACTGCGACACGCTGGACCCCCTGGTGCTGCCGACCCCCGGCACCTACGTCAAATACGAGAGCAGCAAGGCCGGCAAGCGGCTGGAGCGCAGCGAGGGGAGCTTCCAGCGCAACGCCAGGACCCCAGGTACGCGCCGCGGCCGGGTGCCTGCCTGCACACCGGGGAGCAGAGCCGCGACCGCGACCGTGTTTGTCCCCCGCAGATTTCCATCTCACCCTGGACACGGCGCAGCGGTACCAGAAGGTGAAGGGCTTTGGTGGCTCCGTCACAGACTCAGCTGCCATCAACATCCAGTCCCTGTCCAAGGATGCCCAGAACCACCTACTCCGCTCCTATTTCTCCGAGGAAGGTGAGCCTGGGGCAGGGCGATGCTGCTGGGCCACGGGGCCGGTCTGTCCGGCCTCCCCCATTTGCGGTCTGGCTGCTGAGACTTGTGCCGAGGGGCTGGGAGGCTGCTGGAAGCCGAGAGGCTGCACCCCCCCGAATACGCCCCAGGGGTGCCCATCACCGCCCGCCCTGTCCCCAGGCATTGAGTACAACCTCGTGCGCGTCCCCATGGCCAGCACCGACTTCTCCGTCCGCCTGTACACCTACGCTGACGCTGAGGGCGACTTCGAGCTGAAGCACTTCAACCTGACGGAGGAGGACACGCGGATGAAGGTGAGACCCGCAGGGTGAGCCCGAGGCGCTGGGGCTGCAGCCGGGCTGGGACGGGCTGGGGAAGGGGAGCACGCTCCCACTGATGGGGAGGGAGAGGACCCATCCTGCTCCCTGCCACGCCAGCGCTGGGGCAGACCCGGAGAGCTCACTGCCATCCTGGTTCTCCCCAGATCCCCATCCTCCAGGCAGCCCAGGCAGTGGCCAAGCGGCCGCTGTCGCTGTACGCCAGCCCCTGGACCTCTCCAACCTGGATGAAGACGAACGGCGCGATGACGGGGAGGGGGACGCTGAAGGGCAGCCCTGGGGACAAGTACCACCAGGCCTGGGCCAAGTACTTCATCCGGTGAGAGGCCACGGGATCGCGGTGGGTGCCGGGGTCGCCGCAGATCCCCCTCCTGCACCGGGCCTTGGCCATGAGCAAGCGGCCGCTGTCGCTGTACGCCAGCCCCTGGACCTCCCCAACCTGGATGAAGACGAGCGAGTCCTTTGTGGGGAAGGGGACGCTGAAGGGACAGGCGGGGGACAAGTACCACAAGGCCTGGGCCAACTACTTTGTACGGTGAGGAGCGCCTGGGGCGAGGGGACGGGGGAGACACTCGGGGGAGCCTCAGCAGTGGCACTGGGGAGACCCCGTGGCTCACCCCTCTCCCCCGTGCCCAGGTTCCTGGACGAATACGCCAAGCACAACCTGACCTTCTGGGCAGTGACGGCGGAGAACGAGCCCACCGCCGGGCTGATCAACAACTACCCCTTCCAGTGCCTGGGCTTCACGGCCGAGCAGCAGCGGGACTTCATCGCACGGGACCTGGGCCCTGCGCTGGCCAACAGCTCCCACCGCGACGTCCGGCTCATCATCCTGGATGACAACCGGCTCCACCTCCCGCACTGGGCCAAAGTGGTGAGTGTGGTGTGGGGTCCGCACAGCCCCAGTCCTGCTGGCATGGGACATCCCTGCGGAGGGCTCGGCTGCGTGAGGGCTGGGGCACTGGTTCTCTGCCCCACAAGGACCCCGTGGTGGCCAACTTTTCTCCCTGCCAGGTTCTGGAGGATGAGGAGGCAGCTCGCTACGTCCACGGCATCGGCATCCACTGGTACCTGGACTTCATCGGTCCCATCCAGGACACAGTGGTGCCCACTCACGAGCTTTTCCCAGACTACTTCATCCTGGCCACGGAAGCGTGCATCGGGGCCCATTTCTGGGAGAGGGATGTGATCCTGGGCTGCTGGGAGCGGGGGAACCAGTACAGCCACAGCATCCTGACGGTGAGGTCCCTGCGTCACACTGTGTGGCAGACCCCGGAGAGGGGCATGCTCCCTCTGTCATCTGCACCCCATGCCTTGGGCAGACGTTTGGGCTGTCCTCTTGCAGAACCTGAACCACTTTGTGGCTGGCTGGACCGACTGGAACCTGGCCCTGGACCTGGAGGGGGGCCCCAACTGGGTCAAGAACTATGTGGACAGCCCTGTCATCGTGGACGCCAGTGAAGGCATCTTCTACAAGCAGCCCATGTTCTACCACATGGGGCACTTCAGGTGGGTTGGGGCCCACCACCATGCTCGCAGCTGCCCGGGCTCCAGCTCCGGGGTTGCAGTAGCAGCTTGCAGGAGGGGAGCAGGGTAGATTTGTTGGGAGAGGAGCAATTCTGGGGTCTGACTCCCTTCCTGGGGTTGCTTCTTGCTCGTGCAGTAAGTTCATCCCTGAGGGCTCCCAGCGCGTGGGGCTCGTTGCTTCCAAAGAATCCAAGAAGATGGACCTGGAGTACACGGCTTTCCTGCGCCCCGACGGCGCGGTGGTGGTGGTGGTTCTGAACCGGTGAGCGATGCAGCCCAGCCCACGAGGGTGGGACCCCGTCCTGCCGTGCCGTGCCTGTGGTTTGTTGTGCTGGGCCTCGTGCACCTCTGGTGCTGCGGGCCTGACCACGGCTGCTCCTCGTCCTCCAGGTCCCC